TTAGGTCTGATCCCAAAAGACTTAATATGCTTTCCAAAAGAGCTCAAGTGATGAGCATGTGACCAGTTGTGTTCTGTTTCAATTTGAAAACGAATATTCAAAAACTGGAGAAAAGTTTTCTACCAGGTAGAGTTCAAACACAGACAACCTTCATGAAACCAGGGGGAATAAATGCCAAGGTCAGGGGAAAGCCTTAACCATGACACTACTTGGCTCTGTGTTCCTCAAACCATTACTCAACAGCTAAAGGGATTAAAACCTTTTTTGAAGAGAACCGGTTCTTTTCCAAAGAACAGGCAGGTAGGAAGATAACACAGATGACCCCACTAAAGTACACTAAAATCAGAGACGCTTGCTGTGAACAGTAATGAGGAAATACTCAGAATAGACTGCCTACTGAACTATACAAAGACCCATAAAGGAAAAAAAAAAAAAAAAACTAGGGCCCAACAGAATGGGTGAGGCAAGCCTCACGTACACAACTGCTCTGCCTGATATTTAAAGCAAGGTGTAAAGGGACAAGAACCCAAAGGACGTGTAAAACCTTCTTCAATTCTAGTGCTTATATTCTAGAAGGATTTAGAAGAAGCTACTCATATATTTCCTTGATCCAAAGATTCTGTATCTTGTTTCTAATGTTTAAGCAATAGTCTGTGGCAAAGACTCCTGAGAACACAGAATTAGACATGGCTCCTGAAAAAAAAAAAAAAAAACTTCATTTATTCTTAGGCATATGATCAGGAGACACACAGCATGTGTCAAGGCAGAGTTGTAGAAAATGCACATAAATATGACGGTAGACTTCTCCAAAGAAGTCTAAGAGCCACAATTTTAAGAGATTTACTAATTTTTCTACCTCTAATAAGTAAATGATGATTAATCCTTTGGGGGGAGAGGGACAATCATCTGTTTGATTTTCCCAGAAATAGATTTCAAGTGCTGCCATCTCCGATTTATAGATGCATATTTTCTTCCTATGACCACATAAAGGATGCATGAAGGATGGGTGGGTGCGTGCTACTTGGCCTTTGAGCTTACAGGGAAGGAATTACAGCTGGTGGTCTCAGAGCCTGTCAAACTAAACTTTGCTGTCTCAGATTCAGACCCAGATCCACAGATCTCCTGTTCCCAGGAGCTGCAGGTTCTCTTGAGCTCTACACTGATCATCCATTCAGGTATGGACTTTATTGACTCTACATTCACAGACAAGAGCTCTTATGAGAATCTAGCCCAACATACCTATAGAAGACTGACCAATGTCACACTGAGAGGCAGACTGGGTCTGGATTCTTCACATGGTCTCACACCCCAAGTGACTGCAATGGTGAATCACAAAGATTTGGGTTGGCCAGAGAATAGGCAAATACACACACATCTTAGAATTATAATTTTTTTAAAAAAAATACATCAAGTGACACTTTCTAAAGCAATGATAATGGTTTCTATTTCTGTTTCCAACCCAAATTCTCTTTTGGAATATGTTCAAGAAATGTTAGCCTCAGTAATGAGGACTGAAAGCCAAGAGTCCCAAATCCTACTGCAGAAACCCCAGCATGACTTTCTGTGAAACTCCTAATAAATCATTCAGTTTTGCCTTGAAACCACTGAATAACTGGGAATAATTTGGAAGCTAGTGTCTCAAATCATTACCTAGTGCACCCACATGAGAGTACTATTTACCTTGAGAATTGTTAAAATTCTACCCAGCAAGTCCACAGTAAATTGGCATCTCATTCCTGCCAGGAGGTGGCTCACATCAAAGTTGTGTTAACTTTAAAAGTCCATTTTCAGGCTGCCTTCACCAAGCCTGCCTAGTAATTGCCTTCGGAAAATCCAGTTCAAATCTACTAGGCCTCCCAAAGGACAAAAAAAAAAAGAGGAAAATAGTGATGAAAATAAGACTCAAAAGCATCTAACGGATCTATTATACAGTGTAGTATTATGTTACTCTGCCAGGTAAAGCCTTAGGCAGCAGGCCTACGTTTATGTTGTATGAGGTTTTACACACACTGGCAAGGAAGGAAGGAAATGGCCATTTGCTGAGCACCTACAATGTACTAGGCACAGTGCTATGCCCTTTCCCTTTCCACATTTCAATTTATCATCCCATCATCCTCTAGATGATAAAATTAACCTTACTTGATAGATGTAGGGCAACCACAGCAGAGTTTATGGGGCCTGACTGAGGTCGTTTGGCTACAAAGTGACTGATTTATAAACATCCTTGCTTCAAAAAGCTCATGCTCTGCTACAGGGACACTGCTACATCGATGTTCATAGCAGCACAATTCACAATAGCTAGACTGTGGAACCAACCTAGATGCCCTTCAATGGATGAATGGATAAAAAAAAATGTGGCATTTATACACAATGGAGTATTACTCTGCATTAAAAAATGACAAAATCATAGAATTTACAGGGAAATGGATGGCATTAGAGCAGATTATGCTAAGTGAAGCTAGCCAATCCCTAAAAAACAAATGCCAAATGTCTTCTTTGATATAAGGAGAGTAACTAAGAACAGAGTAGGGTCGAAGAGCATGAGAAGAAGATTAACATTAAACAGGGATGAGAGGTGGGAGGGAAAGGGAGAGAGAAGGGAAAATGCATGGAAATGGAAGGAGACCCTCAGAGTTATACAAAAGTACATACAAGAGGAAGTGAGGGGAAGGGGAAAAATAATACAAGGGGGACAAATGAATGTCAGTAGAGGGGGCAGAGAGAGAAGAGGGGAGGGGAGGGGAGGGGAGGGGGGATAGTAGAGGATAGGAAAGACAGCAGAATACAACAGACACTAGTATGGCAATATGTAAATCAATGGATGTGTAACTGATGTGATTCTGCAATCTGTATATGGGGTAAAAATGGGAGCTCATAACCCACTTGAATCAAATTGTGAAATATGATATATCAAGAACTATGTAATGTTTTGAACAGCCAACAATAAAAAATTAAAAAAAACAAAAACAAAAAGCTCATGCTCTTCTCAAGTCCTATTCAAAATCTCTAAGCCAAGAACACTGTAATGTTTTAAGGAGAACAGATCTTTCTCCTCAATAGCTAGGAGGACAAGGTTCCTCTTCTCCAAGCAACAAAGCAGATTGCGCCCCGTGTTAAGATACCCCGGAGGGAAAGCTCAATTTGTCTGAAGATGCATCTGAGGCTGTTCACTGTGACTGTTACCAGGTAAGGAAGGTCAAACACACCTGGCAAGTAAAGGTTTCTTTTCTCCACAAGAAGAGTGGAGAGAAGGAAATAGTTATTTATTGAAAAGCAATAGATTTAATGATAGAGAATACTCTCCGGAGCTAGACTGGGTTTAAATCCCATCTCTTGTTTGGCTTTGAGAGAATCCCATGTTTGGCCTTCAGAGAATCCCATGTTTGTGCCCATGGGGTGTCTTGGGTGGGAAGCATCAGACGGACGGCAGGGTAGCCATGTGTTGGTATTTGCAGAAGCTGTCAGTGAGGACATGAGGTATACTGTATATTCTATTTTTGTGCATGTTAGAAATTGTCAATAACAAAAGCTTAAGAAACAAAAAACTTGTAACTGTGATATGGCCAAGTTTTCTGTCCTGAATCATTAGTACTCATTTGTAAAACTGAGTACTAATAGTACCTACCCTCATAGGGTTGTGTGAAAAATAAACGGATTAAAACAAGTGCTAAGATATTATTATTATTTATGAAGCAACAACATCTGGACATGGGACTTGGCTTGACCAATACACTATTTGAATTGAATCCTCCCAGCAATCATATGAGCCAAGATAATTTCATTTTCACACAAGGAAATGGACTCAGAAATTTCAGCAGCAAAATCTACATAAAAACCCAGGTTTGCTCTAGAACCTCATTTTCTACTACATGACTCACCTCCCTAAAAGTGACTTTAGCAGCCATTCAGACAGGGAAATTGAGGCTCAGTGGGGTTAAATAAGCAAAATTCTGAGCGGTAGGCAGAGAAATAAATGCAGGTCAGGCAATTACAAAACATGCAGACCAGAGTCTTTCTACTAGTTGACAGGCTATCCTGGCTTTGTCCTCACAGCATCCATTTTGGGAAGAGAGGATAGCCAGTACCCTAGAGAATGTGAATAGGTGCATCCCTCCAGCCCCTGAATGAGCAGGTCTTTGGGGAAGTGGCTTTTAGTTTTTCCCAGACCAACAAGTACTAAGACTCAAAACAGAATGATATAAGGGGAAGGAAAATAGAAACCTAAGAGGAACTTTATGCTAGCAGCCTCTGCATGTGATAAATATTTTCAGAGCTCTGTCAGCCTCACCCAGTCTCAGGATCTCTAAACATCTGCTGGAGTCCTTCCTTTCCTCTTCCTGAGAGACTAACTCCAAGAGGCCCCAAATCTCCAATAGCAGCCTGTGTCATCAGTGAGCAAGTCATGCAGCCACTGAGATTAGAAAAGCACTTCTCTCATGCACAAATCTCTCTATAATCAGCAATGACAGAGCAATGAGACGCCCTCAGAACAGTTACCATGAATCTGACTTCCAAAGAGGCTGCTCCATCAGGGACCAGGACCTCAAGAACCATGCTGCTAGAATAAAATGAGGCAACACGTCCAGCATGGCCAATTTGCATTAGAAACTCAGTTGGAATGCCAACAATTTGCATCCTTTCAACTAAGAACAAAACCAAGCCTGACCTTTACCTACAACACTGCTTTGTGTTGCTGTTTGCAAATACAGTATTTAAGTGGGAAAGGTTAACTGGTATAAAACCACTTGAGGTCATATTCCAATTAGAACTCTCACATGGCTAAAACAAGTCAATTAACACTCACTTTCTGCCCCTCTCAAGACTCCCTCCACAATCTTAAAATGGTCTAGCAGAAGAGCATCATTTTCCTGGAAGTGCTGAAGAATAGGGAGTGAAGGAAGGTACAGCCAGCCCCAGGGGAGAGGAAAGTGGAGAAAGGGGCAAGGCCCAGGAAAGGAACCCACAGACGTGCCTTCCGGCAAAACAAGAGAAACATCCTGTTTAAGGCTAATTATCTCCTTTATTCAAAAAATAAATATTTCACTTTGAGTCAACATATTTCAAATCACATTAAGCACAGAGAAGACATACAGTCCCTTTGGAAATTGTGAACACGTGTAGGAAGTGGCATGTTCCAAACAATGGGGATGAGGTGAGCACTGATTCCAGCTGCTTCATGACCCAAAGTCCTCCTCTCACCAGGTGGAGCTACATATCAATTTATGAGAGAAACACACACACACACACACACACACACACACACACACACACACTGCTTTGAAGTCTGAAAGGCACATGAAGTGGACCATAAGGTGTATGGCACGTTTACTGATAAAACGTTCCCTATTCCCTCCCAAGAAAAGTGGAGAAACTTTAATCAAGTCAAAGACCAGAGAAGCAGGGTGTTCCTGCTTAGAGCTCAGCAGCAGGAACATCTCTGCACATGAAAGCCATTTTTCATTTGCTTCCCCCTCCCTGCCCAAGGAGTCCTTGGCAGCCAGGTGCTCACTCGGTGATGGTAGGGCGTGTGGCCACATACACAAACACCACTATCAGAAGCACCACCACAGCCAGTGTGGGCAGCACCACTGTGGTGATCTGTTGTCGGGCTTCCTGCATGGCCTGCTTCCGCTCCTTCTTGTCCTTGGATGTCTCCTTCTTGGGCTTCCCTTTGAGCTGCCGCATCTTTCCTGGAGGATGCAAGACAGTGTGTCCAGAGAGGCCGTGAAGAAAGGTTCACACTCCTGTAGTCAAGAAGGGGAGAGAGATTCCTGTAGGGAGAACAACTATGATCAAGAAAAATTGAATGAAAGAAAAAGAAATCACAATGTTAAAGGCAAATGTGGTAAGAAAAGCACTTGCCACTTGTTATCGTTTGGATGTGAGGTGTCCCCTAAAAGCTCATATGTGAGAAAATACAAGAAGGTTTAGAGGTGAAATGAGTGGGTTATGAGACCTTAACCCCATCAGTGAATTAATCCCCTGATAGGAATTAACTGAGTGCAACTGTAAACAGGTAGGGTATAGCTGGAGGAGATGTGTCACTGGGGGCATGCCTTTGGGGTGTAAATTTTGTCCTTCGTATGAGTGCTGTCTCTCTGTCTCTCCCTCTCCCTCATCTTGAACTGCTTTCCTCTGCTATATTCTTCTGCCCAGATGTTTAGCCCCACACCTCCAGCCCCAAGGAATGGAGCCAGCTGCCTATGGACTGAGAACTCTGAAACCATGAGCTCCCCATATAAACTTTTCCTCCTCTAAAATTGTTCTTGTCAGGTCTTTTGGTCACAGCAGCGAAAAAGCTGACTAAAACACAAACCATGGGGGTCTCTGAGAACAAAAACAACCACTTTGTCTCTTCATTTGTTCCTTAATCCCATCATCCAACCCCCCACCCCAAGCACCTTCTATGTGCTGAGCACCATCTAGGAACTCAGAATGAAGCTGAGGGACTGGGTTTTGTCCTCTCAGAGCTCACACTGCAGGGTACACTGCAGGCAGTGGAAGATGGGTCTCACCAACAATGAAGGGGGACTGGCTGCGCCTCACGAGCATCTATTCATCTATGATTCTCTTGTGGTAAAATTCTGTGGTTTGTGGAGGTGCTCAGGGGCCAGGGGAGTGGGTAGCTTATCATCTAAATGAGAAAGATGACATTTACACCTGAGTGGCCATGTTAGGTGGCAGAATGTCAATTCTGAGTCAGGAAAGCTCTTCTGGATACCTTCCTGACTTCCTGTTTTGTTGTATGGGATCCTAATCTCTTACCACTCCTTTGGTCATCTATGGATCCTCCAGTATTTTTGTGTGTCATCCACAATCAGGCAGAATATCTTACAGTGAGATGATTATTGTGCTAGAATGATGCAATGCAGCCAAAAGCAAATATTAAAGTTTAGGGAAGCACCATTTGGGCAAATGTACAATTTCTATCAGAAAGAAATTAATAATAATACATTAAAGTGCTCACAAGCACACAACATGCTATAGTTTGGATCTGAAATGCCTGATCCCCAGCCCATGGAACTATAGGGAGGTACAGGAACCTTTAAGAGACAGGGCCTAATGGCAGTCTTCAGGTACCCTTGAAGGTAATTGTGAGACCCCTGTCCTTTCCTCATCCTCTCTTGCTTCCCTGCCACAAAGTATCCAGTTGTGCTGCCCACCTCCCACATCGGGCGTAAAAGCAACAAGTACACCCAATCATGGACAGCAACTTCCAAAATAAATCTCTTCTGTTTATAAGGTGACTATCTAAGACATCTGTTATAGTGACAAAGATAGAAAATTGGTACTGAGAAGTGTGGTGGTGGTCACTATACTTGAGATGATGTAGAGGAGCCTTTGGAACTTTGAAAAGTTTGAACAAGCAGGTAAGGAAAGCCTAGAATGCTGTAAGTAGAAGGTGCAGGAGATCAGAATGCCGATAAGAATGTGGAGAGAAAGGCTATGTTGATGAGAGTTCTGCTGGAAATTATTATTCTATATAGACTAGAGGCAATCCCTACTACCCAACAGCAAAGAATATGACTGTTTTGTCCATGACCTGAGACTTTGTGGGAGGCAGACCTCAAAGGTAACTAATCTGGCAGAGGAAATTTCAAGGCAACACAGCAGCCAGGCACCAGCATGGTTATTACTCTGCTTTTCACCAAACATATAGTGGTAATTGGGAACAGAGAGAAGCAGAGCTGAAAGATCTAAAATATTCATAGTTTGGCCAAAAAAGGCACCCATTTAAAGGTACAGCCAAGGAGGACCCGGTTGCTAGAGAGATTAGCACCATTAAAAAGAAGCCAAATGCTTTGCACCAGTACAACAAGAAAGATGCCTGGAGGGCATCTCAGAATCAGCAAGGCAGCAGCCATCACAAGCTCAAATCTGCAGAAATTGAGATTTGTTTCAAAGACTTTCTCGGGCCATTTTCTGAGAAGAGAGACCTGGGGAGCCCTGGGGAGCCCTGCTTGTCCAGGAACACCTTGGAAATCATCCAGTATTCAGCCATCGAGGCACTCAGAAACTGCCACAGCCTGGTTCAAGTAGTCCAAGGTGCAGATCCTGCTAGCAGGAAACCCTAGCACAGTCAACACGATGCTGGTTTTTCAGGCATGCAGAATACAAGCGTGATGGGATTATGGAGGCTGCTATGGAGATTTCAAAGCCTAGTAGGTCAGGCAGCATAGTGGAGATGGTGGAGATGTCTCCGGCAGGCAGAGCTCAGAGGATGAAGAAAGAACAGGGGTCTCACAAGAGAGTATGAGGAAAGGACAGGGGTCTCTTTATATCTACATCCTAACATCCTCTCCGTGTTCCACCAGTAGTCCCCGAGAGGGTGTTAGGATGTAGATATAAAGTGTCCCCAAAAGCTCAGTGTGAGACAATGCAGACTGTTCAGAGGTGAAATGATTAGGTTATGAGAGTGATGTAATATTGATCTGTGATATGAATACTGATAGGATTAACTGGGTAGTAACTGTAGGCAGGCAGGGTGTAGCTGAAGGAGGTAAGTCACAGAGGTATGGGGCATGCCTCTGGGGCACTTATTGTGTCATGGTGAATGGAATTCTCTCATCCTGGTTGTCATGTCCTGAGCTGCTTTCCCCTGCATTCCCTTCTGTCATGATGTTCTGCCTCACCTCAGGCCCAGAGTTACGAAGTTGGCCAACCATGGACTAAACTTCTGAAACCATGAGTCAAGATAAACTTTCCTTCCTTTAAGTAGTTCTTTTGGTCACAGCAATGCTAAACTGACTAAAACGCAGGTCAATGAGTGAAACTGTGAGTGAAGCCAAAGCTGCGATAGACCTGTTAAATTAAAGATGGTAAGAACAAGGAACACTTACTGAGGAAGGATGCAGACAGTGTGCAAACCAGCCCAAGAGAGTGGCCATGTGGACAGCAACAAGCAAAGCTGAAGGGGTAGAGTTCCCCAGACCCAGGGAGTCCATATTCCACCACAGTGTGCCCTAGAGAATGGACCGAGACAGAATTTAATGTTTGTTCTTGGTGGGTTTCAGTCTTGCTTTGGACCAATCACTTCTTGCCATTTTTTTTGTTCCTCTCTTCTTGAATGGGCATATTTACCTAGTATCTAACTTTCTTTTTGCTTTTTTACTGGGGCTCATAGCTAAGAGTCTGCCCTTTCAGAAGAGAATGTGGAGGTGGTCTCCTGGGCTACGCTATAATAAGTCTTAGGGGACTCTTAGAGAGGGACTGAAAGCATTTTGCATTGTGAAGTGGACTTAAGCCTCTGAGGGCAGGAACAGAATATTGTAGATTGGATGTGGAATGTCTTCCAAAGGTCCATGTATTAAAGGCTTGGCCAGCCTGTAGTGCTCATGGGAGATGCCGAAACCTTTTAGAGGTAGAACTAAAAGGGAGGCCCTTTATGTCACTGGGGGCATGTCTATGACTGGGATAGTGAGGCCCTACCCCTGTTCTCTATCTTTTGCTTCCCCATCAGAAATTAGCCCGTTTTGCTATGCCATGCACTGTTGCTGCCATGGTATGCTACACCAACCCCACCTAGGCCTAGAAAAAGTGTGTTCACCCAATCATGGTCTAAACCTGTGAGCCCAAATAAACCTCTTCTCTTCCTTAAGGCCTGCAGTATAGGTATAAATAAGAACCCCTGGCTTAACCAATTCTCCTTTTCATATCTTCCAAAGAACTTTCAGACCTACTTGAATTCAAGAGCAGATGTACCACTTATTGGCTAAATGGCTCTGAGCAAGTCACTTGACTTTACTCAGCCTCAATGTCACCATCTAAACTTGAGAACAACTTCTATCTTAAAGGATGACTATGAAGATCTGAAAAGAAAATACATACATACATTGAGCTCTGCCTGCCAGAGACATCTCCACCAACTACCCTGCTGTGGCCCTAGCAGAGCTTTCAGAGCTTCTATAAGCCTTGGCCACCACCTGGGAGGGGTCATATGGTAGTGTCCATCCTAACAGGACTGTGGAGTGTGGCACAGAGAAGGCACCACTGAACTTTCCCCAAATGTCCTGTGAGTTAGATGGACAAGTTTTAGGATCCCCATTATAGAGAGAAACAAAACAAGGCCAAAGAGGAAAAATGTCTTCCCCATGGTCACCCAGTCTGTAAATAGAACTCATGGCTTCTAACTGAGCAAGGGACAGCATCCCACAGTCCCTTCTCTTCCTGACAAAGCCTCATAAAATTGTTTAAAAAGCAACAAGCCATTACCAGTACTCTGACTCATGGCCATTTCCCTGTTGAGCTAATGGCCTGTCAGACCCTGCAGCTATCTCCCATAGAGCCTTGCAGACTGGCAGGCAGCACCATGGCCCAGTGTTAACAAGCACCTGGCCACTCCAGCTAATAGTGCAGGCCTGACTTTCATCCTGCTCCCTTAGCTGCTGTCTGCATCCTCCCACGCATGTGCAGTTGGCATTCAAAGGCACCAGCCTCCACAGTGACCAGCTCATGACATTTATAAGATGCATTCACAAGTTCCCAGAGACTTGGAAAAAGTCTTGAGTTGCTGGGAATGGTCAGGACTTAAAGGACAAACAGTCTAAATTCTGCATCCTTCATCAGGCTGTGGTGGACAGCCTCCCTGAGCTCACCTGAGGACTGGGGAGCAATAAGGGAAAGCATCTCTGAAAAAATACCTGAAAAGGGAGAGCCTGTGATGAAGGGACCAGCCTGGACAGAAGCTGCAAAAGAGTGCCAGGAAGGGGCTGGCTTACTGCAGGAGTGAGGAATGAGGAAAAGAGGGACAGAGGTGACATGGAGCCAAGTT